CAAAAAATAATTCCTTATAAATAAATACTAATGTGTGTGTATGTATATATAATTCTTTATAAATAAATACTATTATGTGTGTGTGTATATGTGTGTGTGTATATATATGTGTGTGTGTATGTGTGTGTGTGTATGTGTGTGTTTGTATAGCCATGCTGATTCTCAATGACTAGTTCTTCTCCACACGACCTAAATTGTTGGCTATCTTTTGGTGTCAAGCTCATGAGATTCAATATCATACCTGCCTCATCCTGGTGTTCGCCATTGTTTTTTTTGTTTTCTGTGGAGTTTGAGTTGCTCATAACAATGGTCATGAACTGCTAGGTGTCAAGTTGCTTCCCACTTCAGAATGTCTATATCTATATAGATATAGATATGTAAGCACTTTCCTTCATTCACAATTCATGGTGGTGGTGGTGGTGGGGTGCGCTTTATTCATCTCTGTCCCTGATAAGCACACATGCTCTCTGAAGATTATTAAAGAAGAAGAAAGATTTCACCCATGCCATTGTATTTTTTCTTCTTTCTTTTTCTTTTCTTTTTTTTTTTCCCACTTTGGTATATTTTTTTAAAATATCCTCAGTAAGGAACATGCAATTCTAGTATAAGATAAAAGTAATTAACATAACTACAAAAGCACAGAGGAGACTACTCAGTGCCAAAGCAGAACGGGGTAGAGAGGGTAATCTGAGAGAATGAGAGACTATGGAGTAGATTAAGTTCCAGAAATGCTTAAAATCTGTATTGTACATCTATATGCATGATCACAACTTCTTTAGTCTACTATTTCAGTGAGGATAGGCGAGTTAAAGCATTGGCCTCTATAAAAATTAATGATTCTCTGAGGACAATGGATTTTCAAAATGAAGGATAAAGTTGAGAAAAAGAATGAAAGATTATCATCTGAAGAGAATATGTCGTGTGGTTTAATGTGATGGGTGAAAAAACATCCACAATTGTAATATGATTTTTTAAATATTAATAGTCTTTTAAACTAACATTTTGGTTGTTTTTAAAAGCACGTTTCCTTTTTGAATCATTGCACTAGATTCACC